CCTCCCCACTAGCAGCAGGGTGCAGGGACCCCCCCACCAGCTCAGGACACCGCAGCCCCAGGGGAGCAGGGGGGGCTTTGAGGAGTGCAGCCCCTCCTCGATCAGGAGTGTGAGAACAGCCACCCCAGAAACACTTGCAGTTGGCCTGAAGGGAGCCAGGGTAACCCACATGTAGGGGGGACAGCAGGAAACTCCCCAGGTGCAGCAGGGGACCCTCACAGCCCCCTGGTATGGGAGGGACCCAGCTGTTCTGGGGCTGGCCCCCCCCAGCTCCACTGTGCCATGGGCAGGGGTCTCCCTGGGGGAGCAGGGAAGGGACCTGGGGGGGTGCACCCCCATCCTGCCCAAGGGAGGCAGAGGAGGGCAGTAGAGGGTCCCGGCCCACCCCAAGGTGAGCAGGGGGACCAGGGTGGGGGTGCAGCCCAGCAAGGGGGGGTCCCTAGCCCCTCAGTGGTGCTGGGGGCAGGGGGGGCTCAGGCTATCTGCTATGTGGGGGTCTGTGCTAAGGAGCTGCTGGACCCTACCCTGAGGGGGGCTGTGGGATGGGCAGGCCCCACCCCAGTGGCAGCCCCCACAGCTGGTGGACCCAGGCTGTGCCCCCAGCAAGCCCCCGGCCACAACTGAGGTCCATGTGTACCCCACAGGGGGGCTCCCCTGTCTGGGGGGGCGCGGGGGGCTCACTGCTCCTCCAGCCAGGAGGGCTTCTCGGCGCCAGGGGTCTTGAGCTTGATGTTGAACTGCTTGAGGGTCTGCTCGAGCTGCTGCTGGTTCCCGGCGAAGTACGCAGAGATGGCGTTGTGGAACAGCAGCAGCTGCTTGTGCATCACCTTGATCTGGGACAGGGGGGTCATGGTCTGGGGGAGCCCAACCCCAGCCCAGCAGCACAGAAATGGGCTGGGAAAGCCCTCAGAGACCCCTGAGTCCCACTGCTCCGCCAACACTGCCCACCCCACTGCTGAACCACATCGAGTGCCACATCCAATGTGGCTGTTAAATCCCTGCAGGAACACCCCACCCCTGAACCTCCCATCCGTGTCTTCCATCCCTATCCCATATCCCTCATTCCCGTGTCCCCCACCCCTGCACGCCCCACCACGCACCCCATCTCCATCCCACCCACCACCCCCCCGCCCACCTTGTTCTCCTCCAGGAACTTGAGCTTGATGGCCACGTCTGCCCGCAGCTTCTCGTACTTGTCCTTGTGGCTCTGGAATTGGCTCTGGGCCGCGTCCAGGCGGCTCACAGCACCGGCGTCACGCGGGCCCATGCTCAGCTCCTCCAGGTCTGTGCGGTACGCATCATACTCCAGCCTGCCAGGGACCCCTGGCGTCAGTGACCTGCCCCTGGAGCCCCTGCAACCCCTGAGCCCCCCACGGGTTCCCCTGTCCCACCTGGCTGTCTCATATTGTTTGACTGTCATGAGCGTGTCCTCCATAGTCTTGTTGACGAGAGTGTTGATGCTGGACACAAAGAAGTTGACAGCACCCAGCAGCGTCTCCCCGTTCTTGCACAGCAGCTTCTGCGTCTCCGCATTGTACCCAAACTCCTCCTGGCACCAGACAGAGGCCCACAGTCACAGCCCCGCTCCCCTCCATCCAAGGGCCTTTTGAGTTGGAAAACTCTTCCCTCAGAGCCCAACCGCGACCCAGTGCCACCAAGCCCAGCTCCAGCTCACATCCCTACCTGCACAGGCTGGTGTCCAAGGCCATTACCTCCAGTCCCAGTAGTCCCCATCTCCCCTGACCCTGGTGCCCAGGTGTCCCCCCCAGCCCTGGTGCCCAGGTGTCCCTGCTCTGCCCTGGTGCCCAGGTGTCCCCCCCAGCCCTGGTGCCCAGGTGTCCCTGCTCTGCCCTGGTGCCCAGGTGTCCCCCCCAGCCCTGGCCGTGATGCCCACGTGTTCCCCAGCGCCAGCAGTTCCCGTGTGCCCCCCTGCACACCTGGAGCTCGGGGGATTTCTGGCTGAGGTCAGCGAAGGCGTCGCCCAGGGCATGCTGTGTCTGCACCAGGCTGTACAGGTGGGACGTGAGCGCCCGCGCCAGCTGCAGGACGCTCTCGTACTTGCGCTTCGTCTCGCGCAGCAGCTCGATCTGCGTCTCCAGCTCCAGGTCCACCGTGCGGGACCCCCGCCCGAAGCGCTCCGACAGCAGCTGCTTGGTGCACTGCGGGACAGGGGGTCAGGGGGCACGGGGTGTGTGGACACCCCATCTGCTCCAAGAGCAGCTGCTTGGAGCACTGCAGGACAGGGGGTCAGGGGGGCCCGCTGGGGTCTCAGCCCTCACCTTGTAGGTGTTGATCCCCCACTTCTTGACGATGTCAAACTTCTCGACAGCGATGCCGCGCACGACCTCTTCCCCGCCGGGCGGGGGGCCCGAGGGTGGCGTGTGCAGCCCAGGGCCTGGCATGGGGACAGGGACAGGATCTGGCACCGGCTCTGGGGAGCAGTGCCCACGGGCAGCCAGGCAGGCCCTACCCTTGGGAGCCACTGTCCCCACAGCAGGGTCCCCAGCTCCGGTTATGGATGTGCCCGGCACCAGCTCATGGGCATCGTGGTGGGGTCCCTGCTCCTGCCGTCCCCCCTAGGGGGTCCCACATGGGGGAAGAGACCCCAGTCCAGCCACATCTGCCTGCACAGCCGAGCCCAGGCCTTGCCCCATCCTGCTGTCTCCCATCACCAGGGAGAGCAGGACCTGGCAGCCCAAGGAGACCCTCTGGCTGGGACCCACCTCTGAGACCCCCAGGCCCATCAGCACTGTCCTTTGTCCCAGCAGCAGGATGGGTCAGGGTACGGAGAGGGGCAGTACCTGTGGGGGCGGCGGCCGGGCGGGCCATCCTGCGGGCAGCGGGCGCACTGGGGGGCACCGACGGTCCTCGGGGGGGGTGAGGGTGGACAAGAGAGCCTGGAAACGGGGGGGCTGCGGGCGCCGAGCAGGGGGTGGGGCAGGATGGAAGGGCACAAGGCACGGGACAGGGACGGCCAAGGCAGAGGGGACGGGGGGCAGGGAGTGGGGACGAGTGTGCAGGCGAGCGGCAGCGGGAGAGCGACGGCGGCAGGTGAGTGTTGGAACCCAGAGACGTGGCTGTGGCCACACAGATGGATACCCCTGCCCCAGGGAACCCCCCCAGCCCCCTCTGGCCCCTCAGTGGGGGTCTCTGCTCCGAGAGCCAGGCAGGCCTGGTGCGCTGGGGACACAGGACTGCCAGCCCCGGGAGAGCATGCACACACCCCCTCTGCCCACACAGACCCCCCCTGGCCCCATGGGGGCTGGGGTCTGCCATGGGGGGACTCTCAGGGACAGATCCGTGTGGAACAAGGACAGAGGAACAGTGGTGCCACAGCTCCTGTGGCACAGGGCCCCCCTGACCCCACCACGGCCTGGTCCAGCTGGGACAGTGAGGAGAGGTCAGTGGAGAGCAGGGCCTCAGTGGCCCCTGCCCACCCCTGCCATCCCCATCACAGCCCAGAGCTCTCGCTGCTCCCAGCCTGGGGCAGAGCCAGGACCCTTCCCTGGAAGGCCCCAGAGAACCTTGTTGGGGTGTCCTGGCTGAGGGCACAGAGATAACCCGGCAGAGACCCCACCTTGGCCTGGGGGGAGCAGTGATGGGGTCAGCAGCACAACCCCCACACGCTGCTCCTGCACACGGCCTGAGCCCAGCGGGGACAGAGCCTCCTGGGAGGGGCCTCGGCTGAGCGGTCGCGGCTGAGCCTCACGCCAGAACTGGGGGCAGTGAGAGCAGATGAGCCCCCCTCCCCTGCAGAAGCCCCCCTGCCAGCCCAGTCCCTGTACCTTTGATGGTGCCTGTGGGGATGATGCCCTCGGCCGTGCCCCCATAGCCGCCTGACACGATGCTGGTCTCGTTGAGGTTGGGTCCTGACACCATCACCTGCTGCAGGTCCTGAGGGGCACAGGAGCACGGGGGGCTGAGCTGCAGGGGCAGCTCGGCCCCAGCACAGCCTCAAACACCCTCAGGGTCTCCAGCCCCCAGACCTGCTCCAGGCCATCATCCTCAGGCAGGCTGCTCGTGTCACCGTTGCTGCTGATGGGGATCTCCATGGTGGCCGCCTTGCTCAGGATCCCGTCCGACATCCTCAGGGCCTGAGGGGATGCGGAGGTGGCGCTGGGACCTGAGGGGGTGGGCTCCGACGCCAGAGGCGGGAGGGGGCAGCGTAGGGGGTCCCACTCCGACAGCTGCCGGCACTGAGCTGTCGCTGCCCCTGCCCAGGGCCTCCTGCAGCTGCTGCCCCGCCTGGCCCTCGGGACTGCCCTGGCTTCCAGAACGCTCCCGGAGAGTGGAGCGGCACGTCACGAAGGCACGAATCCCAACCCCGATCCCAGCGCCAATCCTAGCCCCACGCCGGCTCCCCCCTGTCCTGCCCAGGTCCCCCCGAGTCCCCGCGCTCCCGGGACCGCACCGCGTGTCCCCTCACGGACGCCGGCGGGGACCCGCAACCGCTGTCCCGGGACACCCGCGCCGGCAGCACCCGGCCCGGCCCGGCCCGCAGCAGCGCGCCGGGAGCCACGTCCGCAGCCCGGGAGGTGCGGGAGGGCCCTGAGCGCCCAGACCGGTCCGGGCACATTCCGGGGCAGGCGGGGCCCGGGGCGGGCTCCAGGTGCCCGTTATCTGTGCCCTGTCCCTGGGCCCGGCCCGGCGGCGGTGCCGAGCCCTGCGGGACAGGCTAGCACCGCCCTGCGCCATCTCCCGGGGCAGCGGCCCCGCAGCCCCCGGGACGCGACCGCCCGCACCCACCCCCGGCCGGGCCCAGCGGCGGGACCGACCCCCGCGGGGACTCCCGGAGGCCGCTCCCGGCGGAACCGGCCAGAGACGGTCCGGCCCCATGGCGGACGGGCCCCGCCGCCCCCCGGCCGCTCCCCGCCGGCGGTGACCCGGCCCCACCTGCGCCCCGGCCCCGCCGGGCCCCCCCGCGCCGCTCCCGCTCCGCCTCGGCCCGGACGCGCCGGAAGCGCCGTCACGGAGGCGCCGAGCCGGAAGTGGCGTCAGAGGCGCGCCGTGGGGCCGGCCCCGCCGAGCGGGGGCACCGGCGGGCCCGGCATGGACCCCGCGGCCGAGCACCGGCAGCAGCTCCGCAGCGTGAGCGGAGGGACGGGGGGCGCGGGGGCCGGGCTCGTGGGGCTCTCGGGCGGGATCCCGGCGTGGGATCCCGAGGCCCCGGGTTGGCAAGGGAGGGGCCCGGGGCTCTCGGGCCCGTGTGGGGGGTCCCGGCCCTGCCCCGGTGTGACCCTCCCGTGCCCTCCAGCTGCGGGACTTCCTGCTGGTTTACAACCGCATGACCGAGCTCTGCTTCCGCCACTGCGTCTGCACCCTCGACTACCGGCTGCTCACGGGCCGCGAGGTGAGCGGGGCGCCGGGAGGGGGGGCCGGCACGGGAGTCCCCGCGCCCCTTAACCCGCCCACCCGGCCCGTCCCGGCCCGCAGGAGTCGTGCCTGGATAGCTGCGCCGCGAGGCTGGTCCGCGCCAACCACCGCCTGATGAGCTCCTACGTGGGGCTGGTGCCCGCGCTCCTGCAGCGCCGCGCGGCCGAGCACGGTGCCGTGGGGCCCCCGGCCGCGGGCCCCGCCGCGCCCTCGCCCGTCGCTCCCGGTGCCGGCACGTAGCACGACCTGGCCGCGCCTTCCCACGGCGGCGGGGAGCAGGACCGGCCCCCCCGGCCCCGGCAGGAGCTGCAGCGCTGGGCCCCCACCGGAGCAGCAGTGAGAGAACGGCTCCGCTCGGCCCCGACAGTCCCCGGGCCGGTGGGGCAGAGGGCACAGGACCAGGGGAGCCCCCACGTGTCTGGATGTTTAGGAAGTGGACCTCTGGTGCCAATAAAACGTCTCTTCAGTGACGGCTCCGTGCCATGCTCCGGGAGGGCACTGGAGCCCCAACCCTGTCTGCCCACGGCATAACTGGGAATCCTGGGAATTCTGCCTAAACATGAGACAGACGTCTCCCTGTGGGGGCTGGGGTGCCTCGGAGGATGCAGAGGGGCAGCACCAGGGTGTCCAGGAGGCCCTGTCAGGGCAGAGGGGCCACACTGGGGGGGAAGGGGTCACGGCTGCTTCACCTGGGCAAACAGACACCCCCGGGGGTCCTGGGCCTGATCCTCCAGCTCCACCCAGCCCTGGGGGTTCCATGGGGTCTCCGTGTGGGCCTGGAGCAGCACAGAGGCTCCCGATGGACACACTGGGGAAGTTCTTGGTCCTGCAGCTCTCACTGGTGCTGGGGAGCTCCCAGAGTAAGGGGAGCCCCTGGAGTACAACAAGCCTGGCCCAGGGTATCACAGGGCCAGCGCTGCCCTCAGAGCTGGGGTCACTGCAGGGGGGGCTGCAGGACCTCTGTGGGCACCAGGACAGCAGTGTTATAAATGGCTGATGCAGAGCAGGCACCCAGTGCTAAGGGGTGTCAGGTGCTGCTGGGCCATCACCCCCAGCCAGGGTCCCACGTGTGCAGGGAGAGCTGTTTCCCGTGGACTGTGACACCCGAGAGCCTGTCCCCTGCCTGTGCTGCCCACAGTCAGAGGGGATGCACCGCGGCCCCCAGCTGGGGCTCAGGGCTTGAGCAGGAGCCCCAGTACAGAAATAAATCGATATATTCTGTGTATAAAACATGCTTCTGCGGCCCGGCCAGGCGCTCCCGCGCATATAAATAAGGCCTGGCTGGGCACGCCCCTGTCCTGCCCGCGGGGGCCAGCGCCTGCGCCGGGGCCACCCCTCCCGCGGGCCCCCCGGGCTGGCCGGGGTCACTTGAGGTCCACATCGAAGTCCAGCACCAGCAGCTTAGTCTCCTCGGTGCCGTTGCGGCTGCCCACAGCACACACCAGCTTTGTGTTGGAGGCACGAATGCGCCACACGACGCCCCCGGAGCCCCCGCTCTCCAGGGCCACCAGGTTCCGCACAAACTCCCCCGTCTTCAGGTCCCACAGCTTCACCGTCCCGTCGTCAGAGCTGGTCACCACGAACTTAGAGCTGAACTGCAGGCAGGTCACGGCACTCTGGTGCTTGCTGGGACCTGTGGGGAGACAGCTGTGAGCCACAGGGGTACCCGGGGCACCCACGGCCAGGTGACACCTGCCCTCCCACATCTGGGGCACCCACGGCCAGGTGACACCTGCCCTCCCACATCTGGGGCACCCACGGCCAGGTGACACCTGCCCTCCCACATCTGGGGGCCTCATTCCCTCTGCAGCCCCCTAAGGAACTGCTCCCTCCTAGCCTCCTGATCAAGGGGAGCCGCCCCTGCCGCCCACAGGCCCCTGAGGGTGGGGAACACCCCTCACCCTGCAGTGTCTGCAGGCACTGCCCCGTCTTGATGTCCCAGATCTTGACGGTGGAGTCAGCGTTGCCGGACACGAGGATGTTGTCGCGCAGCTCCATCCCACTGGTGAGGGACTGGTGCCCCATGAGGGTGTGCAGGCAGTTCCCGCTCTCCACGTCCCACACCCGGATCGACGTGTCCAGGGACCCACTTACGATGTGTGTCCCATCAAACTGCCAGAGGGGGAGGCCCAGCTCAGCACCGGGGACAGGAGTGCCCCCCGCTTTGGGGTGCAGCCCCCCCAGCTCCAGCTATCCCCCTGGCTCTAGCATCACCCAGTTTGGAACGCAGCACCCTCAGCTCCAGCTCAGTCCTTGGCTCAGTGCTGAGCCACAGCCTCACATACCCCTCAGTTTTTTGGGGGTCTATAAATGCTCCAGGGAGTGGGCACAGAGCAGTGTTTGTGCCCACAGCGTATGTGTGGGAGAGAGTGTCAGGGAGGTAGAGTGTCCCCACAGGACACAGATGTGGTCCACGTGTCCTTGCATTGCACAGACGTGTCCCTTGACAGCACAGACACGGCCTACATGTGCCTGCAGTACACACGGGGACTGTCTGGCACAGCTTGTGCCCTGTGACTGGAAAGCGGGGTGAAGTAACAGGTGAAGGCAGCAGAAGAGCAGGTGTGTGAGGTTGTACCTGCAGCAAGCAGGGAAATCAGGGCAGCTGGAGGGGGAAGGCAGCAGGAGGGGAGGTGTGAGGCCGTACCTGCAGGGAGTAAACGCGGTTGGTGTGCCCCTGGAGGGTGTGGGTGCAGCTCTCGCTCTCGGGGTCCCACACCTTGACCGTGTAGTCATAGGCGCCACTGACCACCTTGTTGCCATCGTACTGAACGCAGCGCACGGCCGCCACGTGTCCCATCAGCACGTGCAGGCACTGCCCCGTCTCGATGTCCCAAAGCCGCAGTGTGGCGTCCCGGGAGCCGCTCACCACCCTGGGGGTGAGGGGACACCTGGGGCCCGGCTGCCGGGGCAGCCCCGGGACAGGGAGGTTCACTGCCCAGGCCCCCCTCCCACAGAGCTCCCTCAGCCCGTACCTGTTGCCGTGCAGGTGCATGCAGCGCACAGTGGAGGTGTGTCCATACAGCGTGTGCACGCACTCGCCGCTGTCCGCGTTCCACACCTTGAGCGTGCGGTCCGTGGAACCGCTGATGACGATGCTGTCCCTCATCTGGGAGGACCACACACCCCCCGTGTGGCCCACTAGCGTCTGAACACACTGTAGGGGGCGGGACGTGAGGGACAGGTGGGCCTCTCCCACCTACCCCCACCTGCAGCACAGCAGAGCAGTACAGCTCAGTGTCTTTGTCACCAGGGGCCCAAACTGATCCCAGGAGTCAGGGTGCAGCCTCACCTGTGCTCAGCACAGGGGGGTGGTCCCTGTCCCGGCCCCCCCGTGGCAGCAGTGACAATACAACACTCACCTGCCCCATCACAGTGACACCTGCCCATGGACTGTGACACCTGCCCTGTGACAGTGACACTCACCTCTCCGGTGACAGCCGACCACACCTTGAGCGTGTTGTCGTCAGAGCCGCTGACAATACGGTTCCCGCAGAACTGCAGGCAGGTTATCACGTGGTCGTCGTGGCCTTTCAGCACCTGTGGGAGCACAGGCATGGAGGGGGAGCAGTATGGGCCCCCCTAGCCCACAGGACCCCTCAAACACAGTGAGCAGTGGGAGGTGGCAGGTGCCTATGGGACTCCACTTCTGCCTCAGCCTATGGGACTCCACTTCTGCTGCCCCACTGCTCCAAACTGGATCTGCTCCATGCAGCAGATCCCACACCAACTCCCCCCATTGCAGTGCCCCAGACCCACCTCGGGGGCTCTCAGCTCCCCAGAGCCTGTCCCGGGTGGGACACCCAGACCCACCTTGGGAGGCCGCAGCTCCCCACTGCGCCAGTTCATGTCGATGCGGTGCTGGCGCAGGAAGGCGAATTTCCAGGGGCTGTACATGAACCCGGGGCTGAGCAGGCGCCGCTTCCGCAGGTGCAAGGGCTCCTCGATCCCTGCAGGGGGAATGCAGCGGTGCCTCACCTGAGCCGAGCCCAGGGTGGCCCCCAGCCCCCACCCTGGGGGGTCCTCACCTTCCTCACGGCACTTCTCTCTCCAGAGCAGGTTGTCCTCAGCCAGGACCCTCCAGTAGCGGCAGGTCTGGGCAGCACGGAGCAGGTCCCGTGGCTCCAGGAAGGACAGGACATACAACGCCAGCTGCAGGGATAGCAGGGGTCATGGGGGTCCCTAGAGGGGGTCAGGCTGTGCCTGTGAGCTCCCAGCCCTGCTCACCTCCTTGGGGAGCAGAGAGATGAAGTCCCGCTGGAACTGGGGCTCGATGACCTGCATCATGTACTTGATCTGCGCCGGCTCACAGCGGTCAATGAGCTCATCCAGGGCCAGCAGCTTCTCGGGGCCGCTCCAGCGCTGCAGGGGGACCCCTGGTGACCCCCAGCTCCATGTCCCCAGCACACAGGTGGGACCCCCTGGTGCCCACAGCCCAGCCAGCCTGAGCTCCTGCCCTAGCCCCCAGGCCAGGAACCCAAGGAAGGTGGGAACTCGGTGGGAAGTATGCAGTGGGTCACAGGTCACATGCAGTGTGGCAGGTAACACCATCCCAGGCAGGGGGGGCAGCAGGACAGGACTGACACCCCCTCCGTGCTACCTCACCTGAGCAAAACTCCCCAAAATGCACAGTGGGCCCAGCCCCTACCCACAGTGGGGATTCATCAGGCCTGGTTCCCACCCCTTGGAGCCCTAGATGAGCTGTACCTGGAAGGTGCGGAGCCAGTCCTGCAGTTCAGGTGGTGGAGCCACTGAGGGGATGCGGCGACGCCGGGCCTGCCCCACCTTGGCGTTGCGCAGGTCCCCGAAGGTGGTGGTGGGGCTGGGCGTGCAGGGACCCAGTGTCCTGGGAGAGACCAGGCACAGCTGAGGCCAGGGCACAGGTGAGCCGTGCCAGCACTGCTCCATGCCATGCCAGAGGATCTGGGAATTGGTCCCCACTGCTGGGAGCTCCACCCTACTGACCCTCTCTGACCCCTTGCCCACAGCCTCACCTGGCCACAGCCCCCAGCTCAGCCTGCTCAGCAAATGGATAACTGGTCAGGGCTGGAGGTCACCTGGGCCAACCCCTGATCAACCCAGGTAGCTCCAGCATCCTCTCAGGGTGAGCTGGAGGAGGTGTGTGCCCGCTCTAGCACTTGGAACCCGCTCCCCTGCTGTACCCAGAGCCCCCTCACCTGCCATACTCAGAGCCCTTGCACAGCTTCTTCCCCGGGGACAGGGCCCGGCCATCTGGGCCGTTCTCCGACTTCCGCTTCATCTGCAGGACACAGATTGGAGTGGCTGAGGCAGACCCAGAACCCCCTGGACCTCTGTGAACTCCCCACCCAGAGCTGAACCCCAGGTTTCCCTACACATCACCTGCCCAAAGCCAAACCCGTGGATGTCCTGCCCAGAGCAACGAGGCAAACCCCCAACCCCTCCTGCTGCCTCCCTTCAGGGTCCACATGGTAATTAGGGCCCCCCCCCATAGGGCAAGGGGGCTGCAGCAGGGTTGGGGACTGGGGCAGGGCCTCCTTCCCCAGTCCCACCGCCAGGCACCAGGGACCCCCAGTGCTCAGCCCAGCAGCCCCCTGTGACAGCCCCCAGCGTGTCAGAGCGACAGCAGCAACAGCCAACCCCACCCTCCCCCATGCAGGACCCCCAAGCACCTCATCAACCCCCTTGTTCCCCTCCTTGGTCACCTTGGGGCGCAGGTGCCGCAGCAGCCCCCGGTCGCCTGTGCGCTGCAGGTAGTCGATCCAGCGCTCCCCCAGGGTGTAGTACAGGTACACGTTGCTGCCATCCTCCCCCTCCTCGCTGCAGCAGCTCCCTTCCTCTTCCTCCTCCTCTTCTTCCTCCTCCTCCTCCTCCTGCTCCCCAGCAGAGCTGGGAGGCTCCAGTACCCCCCGCCCCCCGGATCCATCAGGCTCTGCTCCGGATCCGGGGCTGCCCTTCCCAAGGTGCTCCGGCTCCCAAGGCCCTGGCGTGTCCTCCTCCTCCTCATCTTCCTCCTCGGCCACTGCCTGAGCACAGGGAGAGGCAAGGGCAGGGCTGGGGAGCCGCCAGCAGAGCCCCGGAGCACAGGGGCTCCACTCACCAGCACCACGGGGGTCATGGGGCTGAGCACCCTCAGACCGCAGGCATCAGCTGCTCCAGAGCCTAGCACAGGTCTGCCTGGTCTCCACACACCTCCCCTGAGCCCCCAAGCGCCAGATCCCCTCCCCCAGCCCTGCCCCTACCTGTGGCACGGGCACCCTGCTATCCCCACTGTCCCCTGGCGGGGCGGGGCTGGCCGGCGGGGCCCCCTCGGGGCCCAAGCGCCGCCGGCACGTCATGCGCTGGCTGTTGAGCTCCAGGATGCGCGTGGTGATGCCCTTGACGTGCAGCAGGTCATCCAGGCAGGTGAAGCCCTTCAGCTCCTGCGGGGAGCGAAGTCAGCCCCGCCAGGAATAGCCGCTCCCAGGAATCCCTCCCGCTCCCACAGATCCCCTGCCCGAGCAGCCTCATGGGGAACGGGCACGGCCCCGGGGCAGGGGCACTGTTCCCCCCGGGGGCCGTGCTGGGACGGGGAGAGCTCCCGGGGCACAGCCCACCTGGCCAGGCTGCGGCTCCGGGACCGCGGGCACACGCGGGCTGTCCCGCGGGACCCCGGGCCGAGCACCGCTCGGACCCGACCCGGGAGTAGGAACCTCCCGTCACACCTGCACGGGCTCCTGCCACGGGATGAATCCGGCCAGGCTGTGCCGGGGCAGGACCCAGTGGGGACCCAGCGCAGCCCCGAGTCCCGGCAGGACCCGGACAGCCCTTCAGACCCAGCAGGGTTCCGTTTACGGCAATGATCCTGCTCCTGCTCCCCACCACCAGCAGCAACCGGGACCGCCCTACTCCGGACCCCCCCTCACCGCCCGTCGGACCACGTCCTCTTGGCGTAACCGCCTCCTGCCCTCCCGGCGCTCCCATTCCCGGTGTTACCCAGTTGCTCCCGCCCCCTCACCTCCCCTTTCCCCAGCCCAAAACAAGCCGAGTGCCCCCGGTGCTGTCCCCGTGGCACGGCTGGCGCTGACCCGCTCGTCAGTGCTAGACCCGCGGTGCCGCTCCTGCCCGTGCCACCGGTCGCCGCGGGGTGCCCCCGCAAGCACTTCTCGCCCCATCAGCACCGGTGACAGCACTCGAAGGCCGCCGGGGCGCGGTGCCCGCCCCGCCCTGCCGGAACCCGCGTCCTCCCGGTACCCCGGGGGAATCGGGGCCTCTTCGGGGGCAGCTGCGCTCGCCCGGCCCCGCGGGGATCCCGACCCCACCCCAGCGGCGA